AGGAGAGGTAAGTGCAGGGGGGAGGGGAGGAGGCTGCAGCCCTGCCGCCCCCCCTGCCCCCTGCCGCCCCTCTGCGCCCTGCCTTGTGGGAAATCCGGGCCTGGCCACACTCGCAACCCTGGCTGAGGTGACTCAGGTCTGCTAGTCCCAGCCGCTCTCTGCCACTCACTGAGCTGCCGGGGTGAGAGGCACGTGCAGGACCGGCGCAAGTCTAACAGACAGCTCCCCTGACCAATGGAAGCATGGGACTCCCTCCTTCCGCCCACAGTATGACCAACTAATGATAAGCTCCAGGAGCCAGTGCGGTTGGCTGTCACTGTAGAGTCGGGGACAGTCAGTGAGTTAGGTAGACGAGTGGCTTTCCCCAACATGGATCGTGTGTCAGCTGCTGAGGAGGAGGAGGCTAAGATCAACTACTTTCAAACTGAATTTGAGGTCCCCCCGGTTGACCTGATAGGGCCCGGGTCAAGTACAGGAGGACCTGCTGCATATACTGTATAATCTTCTATGTGAACTCCGACCAATTAACAATAAATGACCACCGATGAAGGTTGTCCCATCTCTGGAGCGTTCATTAAATCTCTTCCTTTCATTCAGCCCGCACTCTCTCCTTTTGGTGCCGAGCGTCCAGCGCTTGGGTTTCCAGTTCTTGCTGCAGTGCACCCAGTGGCGGGCCCAAGGCGTTCTGTGATTGGAGGAAGTCACGATTCCCCCCCCTCCTCCAATCACAGGAAAGAATGCAAGGCGTCCCGACCTTTCTATTGTTCTGTGTCCGTCTCGGTGAAGATGTTTTGATGGCTTTTTAGGAACATTTGAGTATCGGTCTGTTCCCCACTACGAAGGTTGTAACATTGTGACATGGACAGTTTTATTGAGTTACGATATTTCCTCATTTAAAGCTGAAACCTAAACAAGTTCTGCAATGCAGGAAATTACATAAAGACTCGACTTGTACACGGTGTGAACTTTATTCGGCTGCCGGCTCTTCAAGTGCTCCAGCCATCCATCCTTCAGAAGTCCGGCCACGGAGCCGACACCCCAAGACACCCGCTTCCATCTTGGTTTGCCAGGAAATCTTCCTCTGTGTGTCCTGCTGATGTTGCATTCAGTTTATTAGGGAAGGATCGCCTTCAATAACCTCAGGACCGATTGGCTGCCTCATCTATTAGACCCCTAATGTCACCTTTGCAGCCCATGGAAGCTGATCAAGTACAGATGGTAGTTGATCAGCTTCTTCCCCAGCCGGAGAATGAGTGCTCAGAAACTGGAAGTGATGCAATCAGCGTCGCTGTCAGCTTCATTCAGCGCGAAGGTTCAGTGGTCTCTCTCCCTGCTTCCTGCCAACACCCACAATACCAGTCCTGGGCCTGCAGCAGGGGCAGCAGAGCCTGGGAAGTGAGCCCCTGGCCTGCTCTAGGAACCCCCTAGGAACTTCTGGAGGAACCCTCGCTGAGACTCTAGGAACTTCTGGAGGGACCCTGGCCGGGACCCTAGGAACCTCCTGAAAGGGACCCCGGCCGGGACCCTAGGAACCTCCTGGAGGGACCCTAGGAACCTCTGGAGGGACCCTGGCCGGGACCCTAGGAACCTCTGGAGGGACCCTAGGAACCTCTGGAGGGACCCCGGCCGGGACCCTGGGAACCTGCAGCTGAGTTAAATATCCAGTTAGTTTATATCTACCAGCAGTTACCGGTATATCCAGAGGTCATTGAGGAGAATTTACTAAGTCTGGAGCAGCTGTGCATAGTAACCAATCAGCTTCTCTCTTTCACATTGTACAGTCAGATTATAACCTCCTATGGTCGGCATCTTCTTGCTGGTAATTGACTGTCCAATGAGCAGACTCGGGGAGTCATAAAGGGACTATGGGTGTCTCCTGCATGGCTGTGTGTGGTGGTCGGGCTGTGCGCATCTCAAGGAGAGTGAAAACTAAAAATCTTAAGCAGGCCAAACAGTTTTACATGTTATGGGTTCCATCTTTTTATTGGTTACCCCGACTTCCTCTTTCAGTTTTTTTTTTTCTTCAAAAAAAGTTAATGGGTTTCGGTTGGAGGTTTTGCCACAGTGCGCAATTCTACTCAACAGCGTGCAATGGTCAAGTATGTGTAGCAATGTTCAGGTATACATAGCATCGTGAACATATACGCAGCAGTGTGCAAGTGTACACAGTAGACATGTGCGATTCGTTTCGTTCCGAATCGAAATTCGGACAAATTTTTCGGAAATTCGGACATTCCGATGTATCCGAGTTACAGATATAACGAATGCAAACGAATCCGAATTTCCGTTTCTGAAATTCGGTAGCGGTAGTTCGTTTGAACGTTCGTTTCGTTCGTTGGAGCAAGAAGTGACAGAAGGAGAGAAACATTTTTCCCCCCCTCAAATGTCGTTTTGCTGCAAATGAACGAAATGAATAAGAAACGAAACAAACGTTCGAACGAACTACCGCTAACGAATTTCGTCCGAATTCGAATTGACTTTCACACCCGAATCCCGAAAAACGAAATAACACAAAATCCGAATCGAAACGAAACAAATTTTTTGGCAGTGCACATGTCTAGTACACAGCAATGTGCAGTATTCAAGCGTATGTCGCAATGTGCAATCATACACAGCAATGTGTAATATGTAATAGACATGTGCACTGCCAAAAAGTTATTTTAGTTTTGTTTTAAATTCGGATTTGTGTTATTTCGTTTTTCGGGATTCGGGTGTGAAAGTCAATTCGAATTCGGATTCGGCCGAAATTCGGTAGCGGTAGTTAATTCGTTTCGTTCATTCGTTCGGTCGTTCGTTTGCAGCAAAGTGACATTTGAGGGCGGGAAATGTTTTCTCCTTCTCTAATGTCACTTTGCTCCAACGAACGAAACGAAACGAACGTTCGAACGAACTACCGTTACCGAATTTCGGAAACGGAAATTCGGATTCGTTTGCATTAGTTATATCTGTAATTCGGGATTCGGATACATCCGAAAATTCGTCCGAATTTCGATTCGGAACGAAACGAATCGCACATGTCTAATATGTAATATAGCAATGGGCAAGGTTCAAGTATACACAGCATTTTTGCACAATATGGCACATTAAAGTGCCTTCCCCTATCAATGCCATGGCGCCCACAATCTTCCTCGTCATTCAGTTCCTGCTGCTTTCATCTTCTCCCCGTCCTCTTGTATGTTCCGTAGTCTTTGACCGCCTTGATCTGCTGGGCCAGGATGATGTGCCTCCCACGTGTGTGCACATGTCTTCATTCATCCCAGTGCCCCCGCGCTTTCTCCCGGCGTCTAAGGCGTCATTTACACTGGCTCTCTAGGCCTGGCAGCGGCTGCTCAGCCTGTACAAATCAATGACCGATCGGCAGAAAGCCGCATCTGTCCGCCGTTAAGTCGTGTGTATCCAACATGCAGACGTTACCTGCGGCCAGGGACCGATGTCTGACCCTGGATGTCATCTGTCTGCGTCCTGGACCGGTCATCTGCCCCCAGTGGCACATCATGGGTGTGCGGATACACGTGAATAGCAGCGGACAGCTGCGGATCCTGTCGGCCTGCCATGGCTTTGTATAGGCTGAGCGGCCACGGCTATTCGGGACTGCCTGTGATTCCAACCACAAGAATCTGCTACTGGATATTATTAGTCTGTGTGAATGAGGCCTGACAGGGAATGTACGCTGGCTGTCAGTGTACAGGTCATAAAATACTGCAAGCAGGTGCAGGGAAAGATAATTCCAGAGTCTCTTATATTCCTCCTCTGACAGTTTTATAATTTGCAGGTTTACTTCCTCTTTCATTAACAAATCCTGTAATTGTGTATCCTTGTGTATCATTTTGGCTTCCTGGGTACAAGCCGTGATTATTGAAGGATCGCCGTCACAAAGCTCCGAGCAGGCACGGCTCCGGAAGGCGGAATGCCGCGTAATAAGCACATTGAGGGCTCGTGTCCTCGCATTCCGTGTTTGTAGCCACATGTCTAATTGTCACGTGTGCCCGGAGCAGATGAAAGGTTGCCAGCGTCAGGCGAGGGGTTGGAACAAGCCGATTACCTAGAGCAGCGCTTCTTAAAGTGTGGGTCGCGACCCCATGTGGGGTCCCGCAAGTTAACGGGGGTGGCGATCTGAGTCCCCGGCCAGGACCGCCGTCAGGGGGGTATGGCCGGTACTTGTGTGAGGGGCCCAGGCGGCCGAGGAGGTCTGGTAGATTGTTTTATTTCAGTTTTACATTGACTGAACTTTCTTTAACCCAGCAGCAGTGGAGCACAGCTGCTGGACGTAAAGGTAATGAGAAGGCCTACTCTAGAGCACAACCACAGCCAGCCACAATGACAGAGGCTGCAGGCCGCCATCTTCCTCCTTTCGTGGTTTACTTCTTGCCGGCTTGTACCGCGGGCTCAGACCGCAGCGAGGGAGGAGGAACGGATTGTCCACCAGGTACCAGAATATGGAGCGCTCCTCGGCACTTCTTCAGTATCACAATGGCATAACTGTATTCATTTTCCTCTCTCGTCTTTCTTGTCCCAGCGTCAGCTTGTTCCGTGTGGAATCCTTTCAGAGTCTCAGTTCCTCACCATCGACCCGTCTCTGTCCGTGGAAGATGCCGCAGCCGATTATACCAAGAAGCTGCGAGAGGTGAGAACCCGGCCGTGCAATGCGGGTTTATGTGTCTGCATATTGTATTGTATTATATTAGAATTAGGGATGCACCGATGCTAGTATGGGTTTCGGTGCCGTTACCGAGTATTTGGGCGAGTACTCTTCCAAATGCTCCAGTACTTACATCCGATACTGGAACTACCGGTCAGAGGGAGATCTCCCTCTGACCGGAAGTGCCGAGGGAGCATGGAGGCGGCTTCCTTTCCGTTCAGGAAGCCGGTGGTGGGTTATGACCCAGCTTTCTGATTGGCTAGGAGGCCGGTTTTATGTGTTGCTAAGCAGCCTGGCTTCCTAACCAATCAGGAAGCCGGGCGGCATGTAATGACCCACCTCCCGGCTTCCTGATTGGCTAGGAAGCCAGCTTCACTTGTTCCTAGGCAGCGTGGCTTCCTGACCAATCAGGAAGCTGGGAGGCGGGTCATGACGTGCCACCCGGCTTCCTGATTGGTTAGGAAGCCAGACTGCCTAGGAACAAGTGAAGCCGGCTTCCTAGCCAATCAGGGAGGCGGGTCATGACGTGCCACCCGGCTTCCCGATTTGGATAGGAAGCCGACTTCACGTGTTGCCAAGCATGTTACTAAGCATGTCATGACTCGCCGCCCGGCTTCCTGATTGGTCAGGAAGCCAAGCGGCCTCTGAAACCGGTGTACTTTGCCTATGAAGCCGGTGTTCTAGTGAATCAGTAAGCCGGGCGACAGGTCATGAACCCGCCTCCCGGCTTCCTGATAATCTGGGCACAATGCACCGGTACTCGGTATCGGCAAGTACTGAAAAAAAATATTGGTACTCGATACCGAAAAAAGCGGTATTGGTGCACCCCTAATTATAATATCGATATGTATACACACACTAGCGCATAATAGGGACTTGGCCCTCAATCCTGAGTGCCTTGGTACTCCGCACATAATAAAGAAACTGAACATGCATTAGATTAGGGGTGGGGAACCTCTGGCACTCCGGCTGTTGTGGAACTACAAATCCCATGAGGCATTGCAAGACTCTGCCAGCCACAGGCAGGTCTCCCAGGGGCAGAGGCATGATGGGAATTCTGCTAGAGTGCCGAGGTTGCATACCCCCGACCTAATGTATGTGCAGTATCTATTTGATCATATCTGGGGTATGCTGTGCCGTTATTTTATATGTCTTATATGTCTTTGCACTCCTCAAGCCTTGAGAAAGGCGGGCTTTGACTTGCCAAAAGATACGCATCATAAAACCAACATTTGTTTGTTCCTCATCCTCCTTTTGGAAGTCCTTTGAGTGCCTGCTGTACCTTTTGGCTACAGTATTTCCTTCTGTGCGGCACTTGGCTGGCATTGAGGGGTCCTGCAATGCCTCATGGGACTTGTAGTTTCCCAACAGCTGGAGTGCTGAGTTATATGTGTAGTGTAGACAGAAGCGGATGCTCGTATAGTGAGCTCTGCGTGCTGGCGGACCTCTCTTGCAATGTTGTCTTCTCAGATCTGTGAGCTGGTATGGGATTTCCGGATATTCTTTGCTTCTTCTAGATCTTTCCAGGCAATGACCTTCCAGCCTTTGACATGCTGATTTTAGGACTGGGCCCCGATGGTCACACGGCATCTCTGTTTCCAGGACACCCATTGTTACAAGTAAGTGCTGACCCCCCAACATGCAGCTTAGGTAGGGGCCCCATGGTAGCTAAGTGGAGGTAACAAGAGCCGACCCCCACATGAAGTTTAGGTAGGGGCCCCATGGTAGCTCAGTGGATGTTACAAGTAAGTGCTGACCCCCGCATGCAGCTTAGGTAGGGGCCCCATGGTAGCTCAGTGGATGTTACAAGTAAGTGCTGATCCCCCCAGCATGCAGCTTGGGTAGGGGCCCGATGGTAGCTCAGTGGATGTTACAAGTAAATGCCGACCCGCCGTGTGAAGCTTAGGTAGGGGCCCCATGGTAGCTAAGTGGATGCAACAAGTGCCAACCCCACATGAAGCTTAGGTAGGGGCCCCATGGTAGTTCAGCGGATGTTACAAGTAAGTGCTGACCCCCACATGCAGCTTAGGTAGTGGCCCCATGGTAGCTCAGTGGCTGTTACAAGTAAGTGCTGACCCCCCCCCCAGCATGCAGCTTAGATAGGGGCCCCATGGTAGCTCAGTGGATGTTACAAGTAAGTGCCGACCTCCACATGCAGCTTAGGTAGGGGCCCCATGGTAGCTCACTGCACTGCTGCCTTGCTGTGGCCCTGGTTTTGCCTTCCTCCATAGACACTATGAGGTTCATCTATAAAAGTGCCTTCCATCATATAGCTGGGTGCTCCACCCCACCCCACCCCTGGATAGTGCTGGCTCCATGCTCTCGTTGTATACGCGTGGCCTATAAATGGGGTGGCAGGTTAAAGGGAACTGTCAGGATAGATTTAGGGAAGCAGCCATATCCAGCAAGCTTCAAGTCTGTGCCCTTCTGACTCCTTTGTATGGACATTGAATTGCAAGCTCATTTGCTGGCAGAGAGTGAATGGCTCAGCTTGTTGATTGGCTCTCTTTTGGAGTCATGTCCTGCAGTAGTCAGAGTCAGAACTCCTCACCCGCTTTCTACTTCTGGCCTCCAAAATGACTGAAGACAGCGGATCAGCCCGACAGCCAGGCAACTAGCAGTTTCAGAAGGAGAAGTCAGTACAGAACCATCTCGTACCATTCCCTGCAACACCTTCTGGATGACTGACGCTCCTTCTCATCTCCCTCTCCCCTGCAGGTAACAGACCAGATTGTGGCTCCGATCCTCGACTCCCCCAAACCTCCTCCGCAGAGAATCACCCTCACCCTCCCCGTCATCAACGCTGCCAAGACCGTGGTGTTTGTTGCCACTGGAGAGAGCAAAGCCGCCGTCCTGAAAGTGAGTTGTGTGTTGAACTGTTTTACCATCCCTTATTATAGGGGTACTCGTGGTTTATTATAGTTACTTGTGGTTTATTATAGGGGTACTCGTGGTTTATTATAGAGGTACTCGTGGTTTATTATAGGGGTACTCGTGGTTTATTATAGAGGTACTCGTGGTTTATTATAGGGGTACTCGTGGTTTATTATAGAGGTACTCGTGGTTTATTATAGGGGTACTCGTGGTTTATTATAGGGGTACTCGTGGTTTATTATAGAGATACTCGTGGTTTATTATAGGGGTACTCGTGGTTTATCATAGGGGTACTCGTGGTTTATCATAGGGGTACTCGTGGTTTATTATAGGGGTACTCGTGGTTTATCATAGGGGTACTTGTGGTTTATCATAGGGGTACTCGTGGTTTATTATAGGGGTACTCGTGGTTTATTATAGGGGTACTCGTGGTGCCCGGCCCAGACGCAGCTTCAGATGTATAATAGATGAATACGCTCTGTTCTCAAATGGTGACGGTTTCTAAAACTTTCATCAGCTGCCACTTTCTCAGCATCTCCTACCGTGACTCCCCCAAACCTCCCCTGCAGAGAATCACCCTCAGGCTGTGACATGTTTCACCCTCCACTTGCTACCGTTCTCTTGGCATTTTGTCTTCCATGCTGCCTACTGTTCCTCCGCACTGAAAAGATCATCCCCCCTGCTCACTGCTCTCAATCCTCCTGGCAGAGTGTTGCCTGTCAGCACCGCAACAGAGCCTGTCCACCGTTACACCTTGTGCATATCAACATTTATTTAGGGGCCAATTCAGAAATAGCCTCACAAAGACCCATTCACCTTTTTCCTCTATGGGGAGCAGTGCCTGGCCATATGACCTGCTAAAGTCTACCTTTTGTATGCTTCATCAGCTTCTTTCCAGCTTCTGAAGCCGGAGAGTGACACAAGAATGCGGAAGTGATGCAATATACATCACCCCTCAGAGGGAGATCGGTGCACGATCTCCCTCCATCCCATCTCCATACAATCGATCCGCCGGCTCTATGGCTGGGGGATCGCTTGTATGTAAACGGGCATCGCTGCCTGTTTTTGAATCTTGGTCGTTTCCCGCTTGTGAGTGGGCGAGGCTAACAGGCCTTATATACACGGCCTGTTACATCTAGGAAGCTCCCGGCCGTTCTTTCACAACGGCCCGCTGGGAGGCGGTTAAAGGAGTTGTAAAGTCCCCTTATCTCCTCTCCTGCTATAAGATCAGCATTGTGATAGGAATACATAGTAGAGTTGTCTCTGATAATACAATCAAAGCTTACTAGAGAAAATCCCTTTTATGTAGTGAGCGCCGCCTTCCGTCTGCCCATCACTTCCACCAACTTCGGCTCATTTTTCTATGACTTCTTCTTATATGAACATGGTTGTTTTTAGTGGTAGCCTATTGGCACTATATTTTAGACAAAAAAAAGGGTCCATGGATTTTTTTGGGGGGCACGCATTTAATGGGTGCAGTCTTCAGATGAATACTTAAACGGTTTCTAAACCCTCCGTTTTTTTTTTGCATATATCTACTGCTAGCAAGCAGTAGATATAGAACAAAAGTTAAAAAATAAACTGCTTTAACAGCAGTTTACACTTACCCCTTTCTTCCCCGCGCGCTCCCGTCCGAGAAAACGAAACTGCACGGGCAGCCGCCAAGCATCTTGGGGAGGGCGCATGCGCAGTTCGGTTTTTCGGACGGGAGACGAGCAGAGACGCGAGGTAAGTCTATGGACGCATGCACACGCATGCAGACACCGCTGGATCAGAAGTGCCTGCAGGGACAGAGGAGTCAGCGCTCGATCGTAGAGCCGAGCGCTGACATGAACATGGGGGGTAGGGGGAAAAAAATGTTGCCTTTTAATGTCACTTTAACTCAAAATTGCAGTCTTCTTTCTTTACATCCTTCCAGAAGATCTCTTGTGATCTGGCCAATGCCTGCACAGTAGATCCACATAGATCTTTTTTGAGCCATGAGGTCAGAGCCTTAACCCCAGTCCCTGCAGCAAAATGGTTGCAGGGGTTTTACTTTGACCTATTCACTCGTCCCAAAACCCAAAGGGGGGCATTTGCCCCAGCTTGGACCCCTAGGCCCTAAATGTGTACATTTTCCACAAATATTCCAAATGGTATCAACTCTATTTTCCTCTGCACTCTCAGTCCACATTGGACGTGGAAGGCATACTTTGCTTGGTGTGAGTCTAAGGGCTCTTACCCAGAAATTTCTCTGTGGGACATATCCTGTTTTTTCCACAGTTGGCTCCGGGTCGATGTTGGGCTGTAAGTACCAACAAGGGTCAAATCTCCTGCATTTTTCTCCTCTGTTTCAGAGACAGTTGACTTCCCATTCTCTGCTTAAGATCTTTGTGCAGAGGGGACGCCATTGTGGTCACACTGGTTCTTTTGGAACCGTTTGAACCTATCTGACATATTCTTCTCCCTTCTCTGGCCCACAAGGTTTTATTAGGCAAGTGTCCTAGCCGGGGGGCTTTATCCTGCAAGGACCTTTTTTTGGTCTTGCACATTGACAAGTTGGTATTGTGTCCCAGGACTTCCATTCTTCCCAAGGTAGTCCTGTACTTTCCACCATAATCGGGACATTGTTCTTCCGTCCCTCTGTCCTACTCTAGTTCATCAAAAGGAAATTTCCCTCCAATGTTTGCATGTGGTTCGGGCCGTACAAGTCTATTTTTCTGGCACTGCTTCTTTCAGGAAGACTGATGCTCTCTTTGCTATCTCAGATGGGCCCAGGAAGGACGCCCTATCTTCTCATTCCGCCATTTCTAGGTGGCTCCAACAGACCATTGTTCAGGTTTATGATCTTAATGATGAGGTTCTTCTCTGAAAGCTCACTCCACTAGAGCAGCGAGCGCCTTTTTGGGTTTTTTAGAATCGGGTCTCTGTTTCTCAGATTTGCAAAGCTGCCTCTTGGCCTTCTGTTCACACGTTCTCAGGGGGACATTTCTGCCTCATCTGGTGGAATCCTCAGGCATAAGGTCCTTCAGATGGCTTTATAAGCTGCAGGAAGCCCCTAGTCCTCGTTGTTTCCATTGAACCTGTTAGCGGATGTGGGCTGTGTTGGCCACACCTTTTTGTTGAATTGCTTTTCAACATCCCAAAGGTGTAAAGCTTTCTGTGTCCCTCCATGGACGAGAGAGAATGTAGGACTTAATATCCTCATCTTGGAGTCCAGGTTCCACCTTCCTTCACGTTGCTGGTTACTTCTTCACTACAAAACTGAGGCTTGCTGGTAGTCGGAGTGGGTTATACCCTGGGCTGTCCTACAGGTTTAAATTCCATTTTCCAGTTATCCTGTAAGTGGCGGTATAACCCGAAGGTTTAAGGCTTCCAATGTTTCTCAAAAAGATTTTAGAGAAAGTCCAAAAATCCTAATATTGATGCTAATGCCGATCATACGAAAATGTCACCTTAGTAAATATCTGCTGCATTCTATGAATCGTGTAAATGTTGGTGCCTAGAGACGATGCATCAAACTGACCCTTGCAGAACACCACGCGAGACGCTTGTGATGGGGGACTGGCATTCCTGACTAATGGACTGTATACAGTACTTGTCCCAGAACAGTGACTCGGTGATTAAGTTCACTCCCCGAGAACATCACAGCAACACTGGTCCCATGTCACCCCTTAGGTGAAACCCAAACACTCTAGCGCAATTTTTTTTTCTTGGGAGAATGTGCAGGAGAGGGGAGAGACTGGAGAGAGAGGAGAGACAGTCAGGGGGCAGAGAGAGAGAGAGAGGAGAGACAGTCAGGGGGAGAGAGAGAGGAAAAACGGCCAGGAGAGAGAGAGAGGGGAGACGAGACGGTTGGGGGAGAGAGAGAGAGAGAGGAGACGGTCGGGGGAGAGAGAGTGGAGACGAGACGGTCGGGTGAGAGAGAGAGAGAGGAAAAGGACATTATTTTTCACGTTCAGGCATTGGTAGGAGTATACACCAGGTCATTAGAGAGAAGTCCTGGATCTGGGATGAGTGCTGAGGAGGAAAGTTTAATAAGACACATGGAGGAGCTCAGCTATGAGGAAAGTTTAATAAGACACATGGAGGAGCTCAGCTATGAGGAAAGTTTAATAAGACACATGGAGGAGCTCAGCTATGAGGAAAGTTTAATAAGACACATGGAGGAGCTCAGCTATGAGGAAAGTTGAACTCCATTTTATTTTTATATATTTCAGGTATTGATATCGCGCCATCAGTTTATTACTATTCATTCCCATCAGTCCCCGCACTTACAATGGAAGGTCCCTACCTCACATACATACACTAGGACAGTGACGGCAAACCTTTTTAAACCGTGTGCCCAAACTTATTCGCTAAACCAACTTCTGTGTCTCAAAGTCCCAACCTATACTGTACTCGGGGACGACCGATATGGATTTTTCGGTACCGATTTATTGGCCACTTTTCAGCCCGATAACCGATATCGCAGCTGAATGTAAACAGCAGGCAGACGCCTGACATCGGTCCATCCCTAGCCGCCTGTTTTTGTTCTGACAGCCGGCCGCTGTCGAAACACAAATAAGAAAAACTTTAAAAGACAGCAGATAGCAGAGGAATCAATAGCCAGCCTGCTATTGGCTATTGCACCCACTCATTGCCTGCTGTCAATCAGCAAAGGTGGACCTGAAGTTCTCGCTGTCGAAATACCTGAACAGGGCTGAGACAGCTCAATGGCTGCCAGCTTCTGACCGACTCCTTCGATCAGCTGATGGAGAGATGCCGGTCAGACACCGGCACCCACTGTGCAAGTTTCGGCCGGTTCCTCATCGGTAGTATCCGTCACTTTGAGGCTTATGGCTCATGTAGCAGAAGGGGGGGGGGGCTGCGTTCCAGGTGGGGCACGCATGCAATAGGTTCGCCATCGCTGCACTAGCACTATTTAGATTGGAGCCCATTACCCTCCCAGCAAGTCTTTGGAGTTGAATTGAATGTATTCTCCCTCGAGAAGAGGTGACTGAGGCCCCTTTGCACGTGTGTGGCTTTAAAGAAGGACTCCGGGTATTTAAGGGTTAAGTGCTCATTTCGTCTGGGGGGTGGGGGGCTCAAATAAAGAAGATGTACGTACCCGATTCTTGTCCTGCTAGGCTGCTAGACCGGTCCCTGCAGCCTCTTCAAAGGACGGTCTAGGGACTGCTGATGACGCCATCATGTCTTGTGCAGATCCATTGACTGGCATTAGATGTGCGCACGCTGAGGGACATTCCAGAGCGAAAAAGGGGGAGAGATGAGCGCTAAATGTGTGTTAAAATTAACCAGTTGACATCCGCGGTGTTAAACCCCCTTCCCATCCAGGCCATTTTTCAGTATTCAGCGCTGCGGTACTTTGACTGACATTTATTCCGTCATGCAGCGTTTCTTTAACACGATGTATGTGAAGGGGCCTCGTTAACCTTTAAGCCTTCTTTAAGGCACCCCGTTCATTGTGAATGTGGCCGCTAACATACTGGTATGGACACAGAACCGCTCCTACGCTATTCTTCCCGACGCAGCACAACACGCCGTAGTGCATTACCGTGCATTGCTGTGATGCAGGTGCGTTGCTTTAGTACACTAGGGGGCAATTCGAAATAAGCGTGTACATGATGCAGTACCGTGCACGGCGGTAACGTGCGTATTACCCCCAACATCAAGGTAATGGGCCCCCCGAGGAATGTCTGCCTGCTGTCTATGTATCTACACCCATGACCTATCAGAGGGGACACAAACTGAAGCTTACAACCGTCGCCCAGCGGGGAGTAGGGAGAAGCTGGGCACGCCCCGCATTTTTGCCCGCTGTTGTACTTTTTGGCATTTTGCCCAAAGTTGCGATTTTCAGCCGAAAGTTCGGTGCAGCCCTAATACATTATTATTCAAGTATGCCGATCATTCGAGGGGGCGTAGAAGTGATCGAGTGGCTGTAAAGCTGCCTGATCACTTCTACACCCCCTCCATTGACTGGCATGCTTGAATAATCACTTCTACCAGGAAGCCATCAGTTGGCATGTTGGATGTAAACGCACTCCTGGCTTCCATAGCTCGCACTGCCGCCGACCTAAGCCTGATGACGTTGGTGGTAGCGAGAGGGTTAATGCCTTGCTTCTGAAATCTGAGACCGTGTCATATTTCATAGATCGGCCTCACAAAGAAAGGGGAAGTTGGGTAGTTCAGAATCATGTGACGGGAGTACTCAGTCCCGTCCAGATGCCCCAGGTTACATCTGACCGACTCAGGTTTAGCCCTCATTCACACAAGAAAAGGCCGGCACGTACAGCTCCTCGCACGGCCGTATCTGGCAGCTCCCGGGAAGGACAGGCGCTGCGTGTGATTTAGTAGGCAGCCCCCGTCCTTCTCTATGGGACTACAGGGCCGTACGCCGCCCTGCATGTCCGTGCGGGTGTCCATACTCGTACGCTGACAGGATGGATCCTGTCTGCGTCCGAGCCAGGAAACACGCACCCGTACGGAGCTGCACTTGGGGTGAGCGTAGGGGTGCGTACGGCCGCCTAGTCCCATAGAGAAGGACGGGGGCTGCGTACCAATCACACGCAGCTCCTGCCCTTCCCCTACATGCCGGCCTTTTCTCGTGTGAATGAGGCCTTAAGGTAAATGGACTGAACTTGTTGGCTTTGCTGGATGGGATTCGTAGTTGCCTAATTGTTTCTTGTTGCCCCTCAAAGCCTTGTTAACGTTGACTTGTGTCTCCTCAGCGCATCCTTCAGGAGGAAGAGTCCGATCCGTTGCCGGCCGCCCGGGTCTCCCCAGCGAACGGCAAGCTCCTTTGGTTCCTCGACGAGCCTGCCGCCCGGAACCTAACGTGCCCCGTGGAGAAGCACTCGGTCCTGTAGCGCGGCACTTAAGAGCTCCATCGTCCGGAGCGGGTTCAGAACCAGAGTCCGGATCTCCCCACACTTCACCCCTGGTGCCTCCAGGGCCATAGGCAGAAGCAGAGAGCCGGACAGAGCAGAGCTACAGGTCAAAGTCAAGGCGAGACGAGCAAAGGTCAGCCAGCGTCACACAATACAAACACGAAACAAGTGACTGCACTCGGCATATCGATGGACACGGGTGCAGTGACTTCCTGGACCAAAGAGCTAACGCCACGGATGCATAGACTCAACCACCCAAAGCCACCAAAGCTAGAACTGGGATCGGCACCAAAAAACGAAATCAAGAGGACCACAGAAGTAGAGATGTATGTAGCCAGAGACGAAGCCACAGGACCATCACCAGAGCCTCAGACTTTTTTTCTTTCCTCCAACCAGAAGACCACGCCACGAGCAGAACATGTAGCTTGAAGATCTGCCCTGCGTCCTCGCCATCCATCTTCTTGACTCTGCCCGCTGTACCCTTAACGATCTGTCCCCCTCTCACATCTGCCTCCTGCTAGGATCTGCTCCTCGCCGCCCCCGAGGAGCCACAACTTCCAGAAGAGATTTGCACATTGAAAACAATATCACAATGGCTACACCGATAATAAAATGCCAATTCGTTGACTCGGCGTGTGTTTTTCCGTTGTTGACGTCCAACCGTAGACCATATACTGGGAAGAGTAGGGATGGGGCAACCCGTTGCGGGCAATCAAGTCTCACCCTTTGGTCTTGTTCACGTGGTCCTCCTGTGTGTGTGTACAGCGAGCTTTGAGCAGCTTTCCTGAAGCCTTAAAACAGGGGTAGTCCAAGCTCGGCCCTTCAGGTGTGGTGGAACCACAAATCCCATGATGCATCTGTCTCTGGAAGCCATGCCTGTGGCTGTCGGAGTCCTGCAGTGCCTAATTGCAACAAAGCCGGATGGCTGGAGTTTGCCTACCCCCGTCACTTCTGCTACTGATAAAGCCAACTGGGCACAGATCGTACGCCATTAAGTTTAGTTTCCTGGCCGGAGATTGACAGTGATGAACCTGGAAGTGCTCAGAGCTGAGCGCTTCCAGGTTCATTCTAGTAAACAGAGGTTCACTGATCTCCATCCTGACACCTACCATAGAGGTCCCGGGCACCCAGGAGGGACAGGTGAGCCATACATGGCGCCTGTGGCTGTCGGAGTCCTGCAGTGCCTAATTGCAACAAAGCCGGATGGCTGGAGTTTGCCTACCCCCGTCACTTCTGCTACTGATAAAGCCAACTGAGCACAGATCGTACGCCATTAAGTTTAGTTTCCTGGCCCGGAGATTGACTGTGATGAACACTATGGAAATAGCCACTTGGGGTTGGGAAACCCAATGCGGGGCCTCACATGAACACCTGCTCCATTGGAGGTAGGAGGGAACAAAAGCCAATACCTATAGCAATAGACTATCACAGTATGCTTGTGACAGGTTCTCTTTATGGAGACATATGGGGTATATCGGACTCCTAATGTCACTTCTACTGATAAAGCCAACTGAGCACAGATCGTACTCCATCAACTTTAGTCTCCTGGCCGGAGATGGACAGTTATGAACCTGGAAGTGCTCGGAGTTGAGCGCTTCCAGGTTCATACTAGTAAACAGATGTTCTCTGATTTCCATCCTGACACCTACCATAGAGTCCCCCGGGCACCCAGGAGGGACAGGTGAGCCTCTGAAAGCCATGCCTGTGGCTGTCAAGAGTCTTGCAGTGCCTAGTCAGATTCGTAGTTGCAACACAGCTGGATGGCCGGAGTTTGCCTAACCCGCGTCCTAAATGAAAGCTGAGGTTCCAGTATGGG